CCTATAGTCCCAGCTACTCAGGAGGCTGAGGCAAGAGAATCACCTAAGCCCAAGAGCTGGAGGTTGCTGTGAGCTGCAATGCCACAGCACTCTACTGAGGGCAACAAAATAAGACTCTGTCTCTAAATATATATATATAAATTACTCATAAAAATAAAGGATAAAAATAGAAATTTTCAAAATTATGTTCTGCTTTCTTTTGTTGTGTTGTTGTTTAAGTCCAGGAATGATAGTTCCTGCTTCACTAGAAAGAATAGGTGATAAACCTCACAGTTTATATCCTTTTCTTTTGTACCTCTCTACTTTTGTATGCTGATTTTTTATCTTGTGCTTGTAATTTTTATCATGAAATTAGCCTAGAAAAACAGTGATTCCCATGGTATCTGGTAGTATGTGCTAAGCACTCCTTTCTGGCTTCCTTCAGTGGTGCTTTCCTGAGTTGATGCCCAAGCAGGCAGAGAGGAGGGACCTATCATTACATAAGGCCTTTGATTACCTGGATGATGGATGTTAGCTATGACCACTTTCTTAATTGCTTGCATAGATATTAGGTCGTTAAATCCGAACTGTCTGATTTTGAATCAAAAGTTTGGTTTATTAGTGCCACGCATGGTGGCTCACACCTGTAATCCTAGCACTCTGGGAGGCCGAGGTAGGTGGATTGCCTGAGCTCGAGAGTTCAAAACCACCCTGAGCAAAAGCAAGACCCCCTTCTCTACTAAAAATAGCAAAACTGGCAAGGCATCATGGTGGGTGCCTGTAGTCCCAGCTACTTAGAAGGCTGAGGCAGGAGGATCCCTTGAGCCTAAGAGTTTGGGGTTGCTGTGAGGTACAAGGGTGCCACAGCACAGCACTCTACTCAGAGACACAGAGTGATACTCTGTTCCCCTCTCCAAAAAAATTTAGTGTCTTCTATCTTAAACAAGAAGCAGTACAATGAATCAAAGTATGTGCCATCTGTGTCAACACAGTTTTGCTATCTTCATGGTAGATTGTGTATGCCAGCACAAAGAAGCCTGGAAAATGAGTGGTGATGAAATTGTAAAAGGCATTTTCCACAGCTTGTTGAGAACTGAGTATTTTTCCTTGTAAAAAGTTACCCACATCTTAGAAGAAGTGGTAGTCAGGTGGTGCAAGGTCTGATAAATACAGTAGATGAAGAAAAAAAATACGGTGGATGACGGAGAAAGTCCAGCTTCTGTAGTTTGAGCAGTGTGACAGCATTGTCTTCCCAGAGCATTGGCCTGTTTCTGTTGACCAGTCTTAGATACATAATCACAAGCCTCCTCATCAAATCATCCACTTTGTAGTAGACATCCTACTAAAATTGACCAGATTTCATGAAGCTGGATAATACCAACACTGGACTACCAGACAGATACCAATAGCTTTTTTTGTTGAATATAGACAGTCCCCAAGTTAAGAAACATCCAACTGATACACAATTCACATTTAAGAACAGGTGCTATTACAGGTAACAGGTATATGTACTTGGTCTGACTTACATATAAATTCAACTTAAAAACAAATTCACAGGCTCAGTGCCTGTGGCTCAAGTGGCTAAGGTGCCAGCCACCTACACCTAAGGTGGCGGGTTCAAATCCAGCCC